TGGTATGTTATACTTACAAATGCAAATTATCCGATGAAATACTTAGTGTACAGTCCAATGATATGGTATGTTGTGTGGAATCTAGTCGATGATATGTTTTAGTATAGAGTTCGATCACATGCTTATTAGTGTAGAATCTAAGGAAACTATTAATAGTGTAGATAATCCATATGTACTTATTTGCGAGGCTATTTATAATTGATATGTTTTTCTTATTCAGAAATTGGCAAAGAGCATATCTGTGAGTTATGGTATCGAGCCTGATGAAGAAGGCTCAGCTGGACTACGCGTTACTGCAAGGGGCTCCGTCACAACCTGTACTTACCGTGTGGACACGGACGATCGCACACACTTAAACTCGGTTGGGTGGAAGAAATTCCTCGATGGCAAGAATCTTCGTGTTGGACAGGCCATCCTAATTACTATCAGGAACACCAACCGCCCAGGCTTGAGGATGATGATTGTCTTCGATATCATCTAGAACTACATATGTGTGTGTGGCTATATCATCTAGAACTACATTTGTGTGTGTGTGGCTATATCATCTAGAACTACATATGATGATCATCGTCGATATCATCTAGAACTACATATGATGATCGCCGTTGATATGACCTTGTACTGCTTGAGGATGCATGTTGACTATGCATGAAATTGTTATCTAGTACTCCCTTTGTTCCAAATTACTCGTCGTGGTTTGAACTAAAACCACGACGAGTAATTTGGAGTGAAGGAAGTACTACCTAGTAATGGTTTATGAATTTGATATCTACTAGAAGTACCTAGTATCTAGTATCTGAAAGGGAAACTGAAAGGGAAAGGGAAAAGGGTACAGGAAAATGATGAAAGATATAGCAGTAGCGAGGGACTGCGAAATTGCTACAGCTAAGTAATAGTAGCGCGTTCATAAAAAGCGTTGTTGATAACGTCAACAGTAGTAGCACGGGTAGGGACCGCGCTACTACTATAAGTTAGCCGTAGCGCCTTATTAGTAGCGCGTCCACCCGCGTTGCTGCTAGCCTCAAAACCCGCGCTACTACTAGGGTTTTCACTAGTAGTGAAAGGACGACCCCAAAAAATAAGCCTACTTCTGTGGCATTAAAGAACACAGACGCTTAGCCCCCGCCAACCCCCATAACCCAACATCGGTCTTAATCTTAGATGTGATTATAGTTGGCAAGGATGACACATTTCTAAACACCCGCGCATTCCGCTTGTGCAAATCCCCCGGGAGACTTAACATGACGAGGGATGCAAGGCCCTTTCTCACGTTGGCATTGACGCCCACCATGTGGTGCCACCACTCCATGTTGTGGAATTTCTCCAAGTAGTGAGAGCCATATGGACAGTGACATTCTTGTGCTTGGGAATTGTGAAAATGGAGGGGGCGATGTATTTTGGCTTGTGCCCCCCAAGCCACGGGGAGTGCCAAAAGGGGGTCCCCTTTCCATTGAAAATGGTGATGGTGGTGCACTCATAAAAGAGCACCATGTCTTCCTCATCGCACAGGTGCCCTAAATCAACCCAAGCTCTGCTCGGGTCCTTCCAAGCCTGCCGAGATCACTGGAGACGCAATGCACGCGCAAACTTTTCCATGTCCAGGATGCCCAACCCACCCAAATCCTTAGGCTTGCAAATGTTGGCCTCCGCCCAAATCCTTAGGCTTGCAAATGTTGGCCCATCTGATCTTACATTTCCACCGGAAACCTTATCTGTGCCACCCCAAAGGAAAGCTTGTTGCAACTTGCCAATGGAAGACATTGTTCCTTTGGGTACGACAAGTGAAGTGAGGTGGTGGATGGCCAGCAAAGTGACAACCGACTTTACAATGCCATCGTAAGGAACTTCCCTCGAACGGGCATGATTTTTCTGGCAATCTTATCAAGCAAATGCTGGAAGTCCACAGCCCACAACCAGTGAATAGAAATAGGAAGGCCAAGGTACTTCAAGGGGAATTGAGCTCGGACTGCCAAGAAGTCACCCAAAATCATGTCCAGATCGACATTGGAGCATCTGATAGGGGCCAACGAGCTCTTATGGATATTTTTAACTTGACCGGTGACATTGCCAAAGCTCTGGAGGATGGAGGCAAGCATGTCCATGTCCTCCTTAATAGGCTTAAAAAATGCTGCATCATCCGCACACATGGAGGTGTGAAGACAAGCCCCGCAACCACGTAATTTGTGCAGGCTACCATTGGCCGTAGCCACGTCCAAAATCTGCTGAAGGGGGTCAATCGCAAGGACAAAAATAAGGGGCGATAATGGGTCACCCTGAAGCATGCATTCATGACAACTTCATGTATGTACGCAACTATGCTAACCATCTCCAACGAACCAACACGCCATCGCTTCTGCTCAAGTTGGACATCAAGAAGGCTTTTGATTCAGTTAAATGGGAATACCTGCTCAACCTGTTCCAAAGGGGGGGGGGGGTCCCCAAGGTTTCGAGAGTGGATGACGGCATTGTTGCTGACGTCCACTTTCAGCATTCTCCTCAACGGTGTTCCCGACAGCCCTACTTCAGTCTAGATTACTGAAAATATGCATGATGGTGTGCCATCAAGTGTTACACTACAGAACTTCATTCCACCTTCCTGCAATGTTGTAGGATCTAGCTAGGTTTTTACATGAAGCGTTTAATTCCTATTCTTTTTCTTACTGTGACAGCCATTATAGATGAATCATTAGGGGTAACCTCCATTGATGGCATTACAAGGCCATTCTTCACTGTTATTGCCTAACATGAGGGGCATGAGAGTGATTGAACCTGCCTGGTATGTTTGCTGGAGTTAGAGAAGACTTTGGAGCAACTCGGAGTGGAGTTGGGCGATGTTAAGCCAAAAGTGCAGCCAGATGGCTGGTATGTATGTATAGCCTAGATATTTCTATATCCCTCGTCGATTCTTTTGTCTCCTGGATTTCTGCCATCGAACAATTTCTATTCCTGGTATTGCTGCCATCGGGCTCTATGTAAATTAGTATTATTTGAAACAAACTGTTGTATGTAGCCGAAAGAAAAATTGGAGATATTTTTCTGGGTATGTTCACTATTTGCATGATTGTGAAAAAAGTTTCATTTAATTGCATGGTCAAAACTTTTATGAGATGCTTCTTTGCACCATTACAAGTTAGAAATATGAACTTTTGTAGTTCGTTGTTATTGTTATTTCATGACTTGCTTTTTTTAAGAGAAGTGGAAACTATTTTCCGTTAGCAGATAAGTACACCTTTTGTATTGGTTCGCAATTCCTCGGGTGAAGCAAACACATTTTCACAAGAGATGTTTACTTTCATGAACATATATATTAATGTTAGCTTGAGTTTCAAGCAGCATACTTAGTATGTACTCCAAACTTTTGTGCGTTAGTTCATATGTGCATTGCCACACACAGTTACTTTTATTTATTTATGTTGGCACGTACACTTTTACTATTGGCTATAAAGCATGTCTCAATTTTGTTTTTTGTTTTTGACATTCATTTGAATTTGCTAAACCAACTAAATACTTGCCTAGGAAGCATTAGAAATGTACTATACTCCTGGTCATGATATGGGTTACACTTATTTTGCCAACATAAAAGGAACAAAGCCAATGACCGCGCATTGAAAAGCCAGTGACTTCCATTAAATTAAGGTTCACACTTCATTTTTCAACATGAAACCAACGAAGTCAATGTCCCCATGCAGCGAAGCCCTCGTGACCCTGCTGCATGCCCTGTTCCACCAAAAAATTCTCAAGATGGAGACCGTGGTCACCATTCCCGTGGACCTTCAGGTGAAGGAGAATTTATAACATTGAGATATCATATAATTGTTCAATTATGAAGTTGCTAAAACCTTGATTGCTCTACGAATGTGATGCAAAAGCTTGTGCATGAATCAAGTCTTTTTGGTGGATGGATCATATTGCTCACCAATCTGAAATGAAGAATGCAAGCCATGATTTTACTTTCATCACTTATTTATGTCACTTAATAATCTATTTGATTCATTTACCCGCATTATGGCCCGTAGCAACGCACGGACATTTTACTAGTTAGCTTTATTTTTGACCCAATCATCTCAAGGGACATGCCACTTTGGAGTGCACGATCTGATTAGTGCGAGTCGTTGGAGCCATGCATGCATGCGTCAGAATTAAAGTAAGTCCTGGATGTGTCGTGTTCTAAATTTGTAATTAGTTTAGGCGCCACGAGATCCTGCTCCCTCCATAAATTATAACGGCTCGATGTGGTAACCGCACCAACCAGCTTCTTCAACACCAATTCAAATCATAGCCAAGATGGCCAGCTTCGCCTCCCATCCCAGACCAGCCATGACCCAACCGGCAGCACCAGCTCCACCGACGAGTTCACTAGAGCGTGCCACCGCTACCGAGAGTTCACCGGAAGACGCCCTATCCGAAGATAGCCTCAAGAGCTTCATATCCTCGCTCCCATCAAGGGAGGGGTGGCCACAGCCGCTCACCCAGTACAAGGGCTACTGGTTCAAGCCGGGGATCCTGGATGGGGTCCTGCACGCCAGACGGGCCTTTGCGCCCCGCGCCGACGACGTTGTCCTTGCCACGCAGCCCAAGTGCGGCACCACCTGGCTCAAGGCCCTCGCCTTCGCCGTCGCCACCCGGTCCCGCCACGTCGTCGGCGCCGCCGACCACCCGCTCCTCACCCGCCACCCGCAGCACCTCGTGCCGTTCATCGAGATCCCCGGCGCTGGCGGGGGACACGTGACATCGGCACGCTCCCGTCCCCGAGACTCCTTGCCACGCACATGCCCATGTCGCTGCTCCTGCCGGAGACGCGGAAGCTCGGTTGCCGGGTCGTGTACCTGTGCCGGGACCCCAAGGACACGCTTGTCTCCAGGCTGCACTTCGAGAACAAGCTGGTGGCGCGGGGCGGCTGCGCCGGCCTGTCCATGGACGACGCCTACGGCATGTTCTGCGAGGGGTTCTCGCCCTACGGCCCTTTCTGGGACCACTGCCTCGAGTACTGGGAGGAGAGTGTGGCGAGACCGGACACCGTCCTCTTCCTCAAGTACGAGGAGATCAAGTCGGACCCGGCGCGGGTCGTGAGGAGGCTTGCAAGCTTCCTCAGCGTCCCGCTGACTGAGGAGGAGGAGAGGTCCGGCGTGGCGGAGGAGGTGGCGAGGATGTGCAGCTTCGAGACGCTCACGGGGCTGGAGGTGAACCAGGTCGGCGGCGTTAGCCTCGGGAATAGAGTTCACGTTGATAACTCTGTGTTCTACAGGAAAGGCGAGGTAGGGGACTGGGTGAACCACATGAGCCGTGAGATGGGGGAGAAGCTCGACGGCATCGTCCAGGAGAAGCTCCAGGGGTCAGGGCTTGTGTTTTGAGCAAGAGCCATTTGTTATGTGTTGTGTTCTCCTTTGCACTCTGCTTGGTGGTGCTGGGCATTTCTGTAAGAGCTTGAACTGTTTCTTTTAAGTCTGCAAGAGCTCTGTGTATGTTGATTGTGGTTTAATATATGCTGGAAATAAGAATAAAACAGCTTGACTCAGCCGGATGGCCTCATAGACTGTGATACTCGATCAGTCCCTTGCCACTGGATAGTCGATCAGTCCCTTGCCACTGGAAATAAGAATAAAACAGCTTGCTGCCAAAAGCATGTAGATTGGGAATTACCTGAACTCCGAAGATGAGATGGGTTCTTCAGCGACCACTAGCGTCTCACTCGCCACCCTCATCATGTCCCCTGGTGTGAGATTATGCACAAGAGATGGTAAGAACAAGATTACGCAGCTTTCAGACACTTACCAGCCTACAAGCTGCAAGAAAATTACAGGTGTGTGATACCAGTGTCAACTGTATACCATAAGCAAGCAGCCATTAATTTGAATACCTCGGGGTTTTCTACAATTTTTTTTAACAAGTAGCCATTTGATCTCGACACCTTTTGTCCGCACACTTTTGCAGGATCTTTCAGCCAGGAAGGGTGATCAAAATTAGATAAAAAATACTTGGCTGCCCCCAACTGCTGCCTGAGTTTAGATTTGACCCCTCAACCTTGTCCTTTCAACATTCCAAAACCATGTACTTTTGGGCTCCCATTCCGGGTTAAGTGGTTTCAAAGATGACAGTGGCCTTGTTTTGAATCAGACCGGACACCATGGCACAATTTCAGCCATGTCACCAATTCACCATAGGCTCTCACTTAGGTTTGCATTGCGAACAAATCACTGCTCATGGCCCAAGGAGACTCTCAATTAAGGGTATAGTCAGCTCTATTCCTAAAAAACAAATCTGCAACAACAATTAAGAAAACGTCGGTAGACAAAAGATCCGATGGATACATTTCTAAAGCAACGTACAATTGAGTATGGCATATGCGAAATATTATACTGTGTATAAACATGTTTGGAGATGCTTTTAGGGCTGCATGCATGTGGTACATCTCAAGATAACTAGACAGAATATCTCGGGAGATGGAGTCTGGAGGGAGGCATTTCTCCATGTGCTCGGATGCGTCGTGTTCTACTAAATTTCTAATTACTTTTGGGTTTAGGCGCCATGCGATCCTGCTCCGGCCATTAACTATAACGGCTCGATGTGGTCATCACACCAACCGGCTTCTTCTCCATACATTCATAGCCAAGATGGCCAGCTTCTCCTCCCCTCCCACACCAGCCATGGCCCAACTGGCAGCAACAGCTCCACCGACGAGCTCATCTTTTTTTTTAGAAAAGGAGGAGATCCTCGGCCTCTGCATCAGAACGATGCATACGGTCATCTTTATTAAAAAGCAAATAAGTTCAACATAGGTCCTGAAGTCTCAAAACGAACGAAGCAAAAAAGCTCACAAAGAGCATGATGGTAAAAATAAAGCCACAATCGGCTGGCAAAAGAAAGATAGGAAAACTAAATGCCTATCCTATTACATGACCGCCATCCAAACCGGTTGAAAATAGCTCGAGCTACCATCTCCCATCGGATAGATCCAGTAACCAAACACTCCCTGGCCTCTGTCTGATTGAGTAGCGACCACATACGGATCAACGAAGTGGCTCGGAAGATAACCTGCAAAAAATGAGTATACGTTGTTCTGTTAAAAATCAAATCATTCCTGCAGTTCCAGACTGCCCACAGTAGAGCACATACTCCTACACAAATGTGTCTCGCTGTTTCGGATTCTATCCCATCAAGCCACGTCCCAAATAACGTGTTGATATTATTCGAAGGAGTAATATTAAAAGCAATGTGAACAGTCCGCCATAATATTTTCGCCATCGGACAGTCAAGAAAGAGGTGTTTGATGGTCTCATCCCGGTCACAAAAACTACATCTTGTAGAACCAATCCAATTGCATTTTGTCAAGTTGTCCTTAGTTAAAATGACTTGTTTGTGTACAAACCACATAAACACTTTAACTCTCAAAGGTACTTTGACATTCCAAATATGTTTTGAACTAGAAATAGAGCTAGATTTAATAACATCCAGATACATGGATTTAACTATAAACTCTCCATTCCTGGTTAGCTTCCAGCACAACTGGTCTGGAAGTTGAGAAAGCTGCACATCCATCAGTCTTCTCACCAGATGGAGCCAGGCTTCCCAACGGGCACCGGCAAGTGTTCTCCTGAAATGAATATTGAGAGGAGTGGACTGAAGCACGGTTGCAACGAAAGCGTCTCTTCATTGAACAATGCTATAAAGTGAAGGATATTGAAGCGAGAGGGGTGTTTTCCCTAGCCATGTATCCTCCCAGAATCTCGTAGATGTACTGTTTCCGACTTTAAACTTTGTCCTGTTGAAAAAGACTGACTTAACTCTCCTCAGACCTTTCCAAAAAGGTGACTCCGTCGGCCTCACTGTCACCTGGGACAAGGTTTTTGAATGAAGGTACTTATTACGCAGAATCTGCGCCCGCGTAGCCTCCGACTCTACAAATAGCTTATACAGCCACTTGCTGAGAAGACATATGTTCTTAAGCTCAAGATTTTCGATACCTACACCCTTTTGGTCTTTCGGTCGACAAATAATATCCCATTTAGCGAGTCTATACTTTCTTTTTAGGTCATCACTCTGCCAGAAGAAGCGGGATCCATAGAAATCCAGTCTTTTCCGAACTCCAACTGGTACCTCGAAAAAAGACAAGAGAAACATAGGCATGCTCGTGAGTACCGAATTAATGATAATTAATCGCCCCCCATATGACATCAGCTTGTATTCCAGCAACTCAGTTTCTTTTCAAATCGATCCTCAATACACTTCCTTTCTCTATTTGTTAGCTTACGATGGTAAATTAGTAAATACCCAAATATGTGAAAGGTAAAGCCCCCAGTTCACAGCCGAACAATTGTTTGTACGCCTCTTGTTCCTCTTTGGCTCTTCCGAAGCAGAACAATTCGCTTTTGTGGAAGTTTATTTTTAACCCGGTCAATTGTTCGAATAAGCATAGCACCAGCTTCATGTTTCTCGCTTTTGCCAAGTCATGCTCCATGAAGATAATAGTATCATCAGCGTACTGTAGGATAGACACCCCTCCATCAACTAGATGAGGTACCAGGCCACCTACTTGACCAGCATCCTTTTCCCTTCCTATTAGAATTGTTTAACATGTCAACTACAATGTTGAACATAATAGGTGACATTGGATCTCCTTGTCTCGGGCCCTTATGTGTTTGGAAGTAATGACCTATGTCGTCATTCACTTTGATTCCAACACTCCTTTTTTGCGTGAAAGATTCAACCTGCTGTCTCCAGGCCTGATCAAAACCTTTCATGCGCAATGCATGTTGCAGAAAGGCCATTTGACTTTGTTGTACGCTTTTTCGAAATCCATTTTGAAAACAACCCCGTCTAGTTTTTTCGTATGGATTTCATGGAGTGTTTCATGAAGGACCACAACTCCTTCAAGGATGTTTCTGTCCGGCATGAAAGCAGTCTGGGTCGGCTGCACCACAGAGTGTGCAATCTGTGTGAGTCTATTAGTCCCATCCTTGGTAAAATTTTTGAAACTAACATTAAGAAGACAGAAAGGCCTGAACTGCTCAATTCTCACAGCCTCTGTTTTCTTCGGAAGCAAAGTTATTGTTCCAAAATTCAGGTGAAACAAGTGAAGTTGTCCGGTAAATAGATCATGGGACATCGGTAGCTAATCCCCTTTAATTATGTGCCAGCATTTTTTATAAAACTCCGCCAGAAATCCATCCGGCCCCGGAGCTTTATTATTCTTCATCTGTGAAATAGCTTCAAACACCTCTTTCGGCGAAAATGGGGCGGTTAAAACATCATTCTCCTCCGCAGCCAGCTGAGGAACATCCTCAATCCTAGACTCATCCAAGGACACAAAATTATCCTCTGGAGGCCCAAATAGCTACTTGTAGTAATTGGTTATGTATAATTTTAGGTTTTCCTGTCCTAAAATCGTCCCCTCATTTTTCTCAAGCTGAAAGATTCTTTTCTTTCTATGCTTGCCATTGGCGATCATATGAAAGAATTGAGTGTTAGCATCCCCTTGGGCAACTTTGCGAACCTTAGCTCGCAATGCCCACTTAAACTCCTATTCTCGCGGAAGTTCTTTCACTCTCATCTCCTCTTCTACTTTAGCATGGAGCTCCGAGGTTTCTAAAATTGTGGACTCGGCTTTCAAATCTAGGGACTGAATAAGTGTAAGGAGCCTTTCCTTTTCAACCTTATAGATCCCATTGAGATGCTTAGCCCACCCTAAGAAAAAGGGTTTCCCCCCGCTTTGTATTACAAAGCAACCACCGATACATCCAGATAGGTGCTAGAGCCGCAGCACAAACAAGCCCAAAAAACAGAGAGAAAAAAAATGGGAGAGAAACAAATGCCAACAATGGCAGATCAACGAACGAAGATGACCTGCGACCGCTGCACCGTCTGGAGAAGTACCACCATGTTTCCAGCACCCGAAGCGTCGCTTACCAAGCAACACCTTCAAGAAGGAGGCGACAACAACGCTGCTGCTTCCCGGACTAGTCCTAGGGTTTCCCCCGGTACGTTGGAGGCAGTGAAGGGAAGGGGTGTGCTCGACGCCCTTCAGGAAGGTCCGGTGGCACCCACAGACATCGTCGCGTCGAGGCCAGAGGAGCCGCCAGAGATTTCTCCCAACCCAAACCCCCACCACCACCCCCGACGAATCAAAGTGCACCACCCATCATGCCGACCACCAACATGGGCCACCATGGTCACCGATCTCCCTGACGTCACCGACACGAGACCTGGAGTAGGGGAGAAGGGAGAGTGGCCACGGGGGAATCCGCAACATCACCGATGTGAGGGGACAACCAGCACCGCCGACGTGAGGGGACAACCACCACCGCCACCTCGGAGCCGACCGGACGCACGGACATGGGGCCTGCCAGGCGCCGAGGCCCGGTCGGGCCCAAAAGGGTCCGGATATCCCTTGTCATCACGCTGCAGCTCGTCGGCCGATGAAGCCGCCACCGCCCGCAGACCACCACCACTTCACCACCAACCAGGGAGCAGCGTCGCCAACCACCGGGTCACCGGCCCGCCCTAGCCCAGATGGAGCCCGAAAGGGCACAGATCTGGGCCGTGTGGGCTCCGCCGGCCACCATCACCGCCATGCCGCCCCGCGGCCAACAGCCGCGCCGCTGCACCGAGAACCATGAAGCTTGCCAGAATCCCGCCGCCGAACCACACCGCAGCTAGCCGAGCTACACCGCCGCCATCTGGAGACCCCCACGCCCCCATGAGCGTGCGGGGAAGGGACAGCCCGCCGCCGCCAGCGCCGTGCGGGCCAGGCCCGGCGGAACCAGCCGACGGCGGCGGGGAGGAAGATGGAAGGGGAAGG